ATCATCAGGTGATGACAAAACCTTGTCGAAACGTTGTACATTTGCTGTTATATTAAAGTTTTTCTTCATTACCCATTCAAGCCGTCTCCAGCCATCATTAGTGACAATGTTTCTTTGTTTAAGTTGAATTTTTAAGCTGTATAAGCTGAATATTATCCATGCTGGAGGTTAAAAATAATTTTCTTTTGGTTCTTTCAGATACCTTATCATTTGTGAAACAGATGAGAATTTTAGAAACTATACTTTATAAGTAAAGGGAAGGTTTGATTTTTTAAATGAAATTTCAGTACAAATTTCACTGCTAATGTAATAAAAGTTTGGATACTTGATATTACAGGAGAAAGGTTTGCAGTTGTTTATCCACCTGCCTGTCTTGAGAAAGGACTGGATTATAAAGTACATATTGAATTTAAGCACTATGACAAGGAAACTGACAACCCCAAAGCAACAGTGTTAGTAGATTCAGTAAGTAAAACCTTTCTCAAGATAAGTTTTAACTATAGTTTTTAGGTATTTCTGAATTGATTTTAGTTTCTTAGGTGCATATTTGAAAATCTTTAAACTTAAGTTTTAATAACTTGTAATTCTTCTTGCAAAACTCGCAGGGATTTGAAGTTTGTTACATTATAAAACATTTGTTTTAGTCCAATCGTTTCAGTTGACTACAGCTTCATAGCCACACAGATCAGGGGAGAGGCACTATAGCTTAAGGACCATTTTATTAATAATTATTTTTATATAAAAGATATTGCTCTGGCAACCTACTTAAAAGTAAAAAAAATAAGTATTTAGAAACTTTTTGTTAAAATAAAGAATGCTAATACAGAGAAAGAAGTAAACTTCTGCAGTAAACTTTATTACTAAAATGTGCATGTTCTAAAATAATACAGAATAACCTGATCTTTCCTAATACTTTTGTTTTGGAGATAATGAGTACTATATAGTCAAACCATTTTAGATGGGCTTGTCATTTGGATGGTAAAACAATCTTCAATCTAGATTTTATACATTGAAATAAAAAAAAAATTTCATACAAAGCTTCTATTAAATGAGATCTTTTTGTTTCTTTCTTAGATTGCACTTGTTCCCCGCATCGACAGTATTCCCTTCTTTCAAGGTACTCAACTTGATGAATACCGCCGCCAGGAGTTTGAACGCTTCCGTTGTGGACAAGCATTTTTCACAGTAGTACGACCATCTTCTCCAGATGTTTGTAAAAAATACCTGTATAGTATTGGATTTTATGTCTATGGTGGAGGAAAAGGTGAATTATAGTTCTCAAGTATGATAATATTTACATTTAAAGTAATAGAACTGTAATTTCAGACAAATTACCATGGATTTTCATGAGGATTAATTTTCAGATAAAACCGAAGACTTTGAAAAAATAGAATACTCAGGAGGATGACACAAGAGTATACGTCAAAACATGTAGAGCCTATGAGATTGTTTTCCAGTCTCATCTGGTTTTTTTTCCACTTTTTAACCTTGTACAGTAAGTTATTATTTGAGTAATTTGGAGACTGGAAACAATCTCATTTTTATTGAATTGTTTATAAAATAATCGTTGTTAAAAAATTTTTTTTTAGTTTTTATGATTGAGCGTTACACATGTACCAAAAAATTTTGAAAAAAAACACTAAATTAGTCTTCAGATATTTTTGTTTTAGCATCTCTTTATATAGAATGCAAAGTGAAAGACATATGCAATATTATAATTTATGCAAGTCACCTTTGAGTAGATAAGAAGATAAGTTTTAAACTCAATGAATATGTTGCATTTCAGGGAACTCTATGATTATTTTTCTTAGCTAACAGTGTTCTCAGTTTTAATACTGTTAACTTTCTTCAAAACAAGATGAAATAAGCTGCTCTCTTGTAATATTTTTAGTTTTTAGGATAAGTTGATAGTTGGATTAAAAACAGAAAAAATTACCTTTACTATACTGTGTTACTCTTTTTTTTTTGTAAGAGGAATTTTTATGTGATTAGGATATAAAATAACTGCCTCTATGTTATAGTCAGAGTTCATTAATTGATTTTAAATTAAATGTAGACAGATATTCTAGAAATGATGAAAGAGAGAGCAGGTTTGTAAAAGATTACACATCATTTTTCATAACATGAAAAGATTAAACAATATTTCACAAGAGAAAGCACATTTCAGGAAGTTTTCTTCTTCAGGTGTGGAGTGTGCATAAGGTGATATTAAACTCAGTGATGTTTATTTTCATTATAATATATTGCACTACATACATTTATATTATTTGTAATAAGAATTATTATTCATTGTTAGAATGCTCCTGTGACCAAACTGGATCACTTAGTAATATGTGTGACCAACTAGGAGGTCAATGTAAGTGTAAACCAAATGTTGTGGGTCGAAGGTGTGACCGCTGTGCCCCAGGTACATTTGGATTTGGTCCAGCTGGTTGTAGACGTAAGTTTTTTCTATTGTGCTTTTTTAAATTTGTAAAACAATTATAATATCATTAACAACTTACAGTTCTATTTCTTCTCTTCGTAGTTTGAATACTTATTGTTTGTAATTTGAACATACTGAAGCAAGAGGTATTTGTTTGTTAATCAAACAAAATTATTCCTGATTGTGATTCTAACATAGCCTATAAAATAGAAATAAAGTAAGCTCTTTAAGATTATTTTTATCAGGTTTTTAGAGTAAGCATCAAAATTTTAAAATGTGATGAAAATAGTGTTTTATTATTATTTTAAACATGAGTAACAAGCTCAAACAAGTAGACTAGTCAAGAAAATTAAAATATCAAAGTTAAATCTAAATTCATTTTATAATTAATTTGAGAAAGTTTGGATTTTCTCATGCTCCATCAGAAAATGACTGCAATATCTGTTTAATCAAGTATCTGGTTTAACCCTATAAGACCCGGCTGCCAAGATTCTTGGCAGCTAACATCACTCTCATCATATTTCATTCCAGAAATAAAACTAGTGGATGAAATTGTTTAAAATTTGATAAGAACTTTCTTGAAAGTTTGTAGTTTCAGAAAAATAAAATATTTAATTTTCATTTTTTCTGATATTTTTACTAAAAAAAACTCGTTATTTAATATAGTTATTTGCACTCGGACTCTGGATAGTTCACCTGCAAGGTGATTTTTATGTGAAGTCTCAAAATACTATTTTTTATCTTACAGTTCACACATTTAATTTGTATAATTTCTAGAACCTCTTAAATGAATATCAAAAGTTTTTCCTTTCAAATTCTTTGTCTAATATAATTTATGCTCATATTTTAACTGATGCCAGCAGGGCTTTACAAAGGTATTTTGGGAAAGACTCCTGGCATTGCCAAAACAAGATGGCACTTATACACACCATCTTGTTTATAACCTTTCAAAATCCAGGCAACAAGTTAGACCTATAAAAAATTCATTAAACCGTTCAAGTATGACTTTTAAAATGCACAATATGTAATTAACTAAAATATAAAAGTAAGACCTAAATACAATTTAACTGTCTCTCTAACTGTAGCATACATAGGTAAGAAACCACTTTACATGTTGTAGTTGATCAAACACACAACAATACAAACGTCTGTTACATGTACACCTTAAAGAAAACTGCACATCAGAGTGTAGTGTAAACTGAGCTCTTTCTAATGACTATATACACTTGTATCAACTAACTATATGTATGTTGTAGATATGAAAGCAAATTACAGAAGGTGAGTGTGGCAAACATCAAGGGTTGTAAAATTTATTTCTCTTTCTCAATGAATATGGTTGTAGGACTTTAGATCTCACATGTCAATTAGATACAACACACATAGTTAGCATTTAAATACTCCTATACATTGCCAGCACATGTGGCTAAGACCGAACTGCTGCTAAAGTTGAGATTTTTCAAAGCATGTGGATTATGTGATACTAAAACTGCAGTTTAATTTTTTTTTAAAGGTTTCCTTTAAAACAAAAGTAACTGAAACTTAAATAACATAAAAATTCAAATTATCACATACATATATATATGTTACATTCATTGACATATATTGATAGTAAAATGGTAAAATCAAATTTTGAAGGTAATGCAGTACCATATGCAAAAAGGAATTTAAAAATGGCTCTAGGGGACAATAGGTTTAAAGGCATGGATGTCCACAAAGGGAGGGGGCAAATGGGGTCTTTTCCCCAACTACTTTTCCCTCTCTCTCCTGGAATAATCTCTGCAGATGCCCATGGTTAAATGTGTGAAGGTCCAGTTAAATCAGAAAGCTAGTCTGATAGAGAGTAAGATCTGGTGAACTAAAATATTTCACCTTGAGATGTGTCAACTCTGTTTAAGTTGAAATTTGAAGTGAAATAGCTAGGTCTCTGCTGAAATAAATATTTGTACTAAAGGAGTTTGAGCTCCATTAAATTAATTCATGTGGATCATAAAGGCATAAGCTTTGTTAAAAGCTGAAAATTTGACTGAAAACGTATAGGTTGCTTGAAAGATGTTTTTCAGTGGAAGGAATGTAATGTTATAAAAAGAAAAAAAAAACTGTGCTCAAAATATGAGCATTCTGGTTGAAAAGATATTCATGCATTTCACTTAATAAAGTTAAAAATGCTTTCTTACGGTTTGTGACATGAATTGTTATCTGAATTTGACAGCTGGTGACTTGTTATGTGTGCTTGAATATGGTAAGAAAATACATAGTTAGACAATTCAAATACTTATTTTGGTAATCTTTTGGTCATAGAAAGTTAAAAATTTTAAATGCAAGTTTTCTCCTTTTTTGGGATTATTTTCTGTCGATAAACATGCACTAAGAGCTGCACTTGACAATATCTGCCAGAATCCCTATAAAACCATAGGAGGTAAAGGGTTAGGAAATAATTGGTTTAACCTTTTCAATACAGCTGGGATGTATATTTCCCAGTGCACTTGGAAATATATGTCCCAGTCGCAGTGAATGGGTTAAATGTTATGGTTTTATATTTAAAACAAGTAGTGCAAAATATATGACAAATATTTTGCAACATGTCATACTCTTAACTCTATGCAAGTAAGTTATTTATATTATTCTTGATTGGAGTTTTTAGTTTCAAGTACAATGTTATAGTTGTTGATTACAAACTGTATACTTGAAATTGTAAAAACAAAACAAGAAACTATGAAATAGTTTTGGAATTATTATGCAATTTTTTTTTGCTTAAAGTATGGGAACCATGAAAATTATTAAAAAAATATACGTTGAAAACTAGTCTTTTTAGCCTGGTATGAAAACAGTGAAATTAAATGTACTGTATTTAATGTAATTATGTTTCTAAACTGTACACTAGGGGAAATGTTAACTTGAAATGTAACTAGGACACTTATTTGTAAACCTTGAAGATCCACTAGTCACTTTCCAATAGTTTAAAACTATGTAGTTTTTTTATTTTATTTTAGCTTGTGATTGTCACAGTATTGGGTCATTGGACAACTTGTGTGACTCTGGAACAGGCCAATGCAAATGTCGACCAAATACTTATGGACAACAGTGTGATGAATGTCAGCCTGGATACTGGAACTACCCAACCTGCCAGCGTTGTGACTGCAATGGTCATGCTGACACTTGTGACCCCAAAACAGGTTTTTGCATTGATTGTCGAGACTTTACAGCAGGTGCAAATTGTGACAAGTAAGTCTAATCAAATATTGCATGTTTAATTTATCACAGTTAAACATTAATTTTACTTTGTTTAAAATAGGTTTTTACTGTAAAACAGAAATTTTGAATCATTTACAGAATAATGTTTACCTTATGGCTCGTCTTGCATGTGTTGTATTCTTCAAGATACATTTTGGAAGAGAAGCTATTTCCAGTAATGAAACTTATATAAGTATAGCTTTTTTGAATAATATTCACTTTTGAATAAACAAATCATACAGTACTTAACTCATTAGAAATACTTAAATTGGTTGTTAAATTGGAAAAAAACATTCTCTAAAATATTAACTTTATTTTCTCACATTTGTAAACATTCCATTTTTTGTTGCCATAGATGTGAAACTGGCTTTTATGGTGACCCAAGAATTGGGGTGGAAATACCCTGTCGGCCTTGCCCTTGTCCTGGAACACCAGATAGTGGAATATACCATTCTAAAGGATGTGACCTTGACCCTCGAACTGAAAATGTTTTGTGTGCTTGTGATCTAGGATATGCAGGTATAGAGCAAACACACTATTCTGTAACACTGTGGCTACAGGCAGGTCAAAGTGCACATGTTATGACTTTTTATAGAGTTACTTTCAAAATTTAATTAAATCACTTTATTATTATTGTATATGAATAAACTTTACATCAAAATGTAGTAAATAAGTCAAATATTTGTATTATATAAATCTTAAGTTTTAATTTTATAATGAAATAAAAGAAAAATCTTCAATCTCACCCCTAGTAGGAGAATTGTGGCATTTGCTCTCTAGGTATCCCCTCTTCTCTAATTTGTTCACCACCCCTCTAAGAAGTATGGAATTTAACATAGTTATTCATTATGAAATAGATACTACTCAGGCAAAGCATAATGTTTATAGCCTTCAGTCTTATCTGTTTACAGGGCTATAAGCTAGAAAATCAACCCACTTGCCATGCCAACTTGTTATGACTCTTTCACAACTTGCCAATAGATCTCTGATATTTTATACTATATTTTTTATAACCAATAGATAGCCACTCTTTGGTTCTGTCAGGTGATGTGTTATGTTATTTTCTGTACACTTCTTGTCTATTTCCTTATTCAGTTTCAGTCATGTACATGAAATAGTTAATATGAGAGCATATATTTCTTTAAAGAATGAGGAACCAAACTATTTTGAAACTGCTTTTGTGTATTGGATCATTAAAATTACAAAGAAATTGTACTTCTAATACAATATGCTTGAAGAATAATGTTCTTGTCATGACCATTGCAAGAGAAACTATTTTCCTGTGGCAACTTGTATTACCCATAAGAAGACTAATCATCTTCTTGTGTTCACCATTGAAGAAAAGTAGTATTTTGTTCTGCTAACTGAAAAGGGAAGGAAAATGCACATACTGAAGTTATTTTATAAAGTTTATTTAATCCTTCACTGTTCAAAGGTAGCACTCTCTCTTTGTTTAGGATTCTATTTATTTATAAAATTACTAAGCAGTCTACTCAGTTTAATGACTGGTTGAAAATTTTAAATTTTTGCAGTGTTCACTATGAAAAAAACACGCAAGCAGACAGTGATTCTCTATTACAAAAGTGTGTCAGCTGATTGAATACAACACATTTAAACTGATTTATGATTTTTTCAAAATGTGGTTAATGTTAGTTAGCTATCTTTGGTTTGAAATTTTCAACCTAACAAAATTGTTTTAGTTGTATTTGGAATGTTATTCTTGCAGGAGAAAGATGTGATCGATGTGCCAACAATTATTATGGGAATCCAAATGCCCTTGGAGGTGAATGTTTTAAATGTGAATGCAACAATAACATTGATGAAACTGTACCTGGAAACTGTGATGCTAACACAGGAGAATGTCTACTCTGTCAGTTCAACACTGAAGGATCCCACTGTGAGCACTGTAAACCTGGGTTTTATGGAGATGCAACCAGACAACAGTGCATTGGTATGTATATACTTTGTTATTTTAAAATGGGAGGACAAATTTCTGGCTCTTAAGATTTTGAAAATAACTACATGATGTAATTACAAATTATCAATTAAGTAATTAATGATTTGGAAAACATGCATGTGCTATTTCCCTTCATCAAAAAATACCTTTAATCAAGATATTTGGTGTTACTGAGAAGATATAATTATTAGTTTGACTTGAATAATGTAATATATCCATTAAACTTTTAGACAGTGTAAAAAAAGACAAGGTTAGTCACAAATAGATGGATAATTTGTAGAAAGAAAGTTAACCTTTTCACTACAGGCATGTTTTACTGCACACGTCATGAGGTTTTAGTGACTTACATTCAAAATTTAATTAAACTACTTTTTGTTTATGTTATATTAATTAGTATAGCATAATATCATAACTAACAATCCATATTTAATAGTATACAAGTTTTAAGTTCTTAATTTTATAAGATAAAATTTCAAAAAATTGTGAATTTCTCCTAGTGTGAGAAATGTGAAGTATTTTCTCTGGGCATTCCCTCTTGTCTATTTTATTCACCACCCCTCCAATAAGTAAGAAATTTAACATAAATTACTCGCTATAAAAGCGTCATTTCTCGGACAAACCATAATATTTGTAGCCTTCAATTTTGTTTGGTTACAAAGCCATGAAATAGAAAATCAGCCCCCTCTTGCCACACCCATTTGTCACATCTTATCTTTCAGGATTTGTTTAATACTATATTATGTATAACTAATAGAAAGCCAAGGTTTTCATCTATCAAATGACATATGTTACGTCATTTTCTGAACAGAGAATTGTCATTTTCTCTGTTAGTACAAGAATACAACAAATACTACTAGTTATGATGCAATAATACTGAATTAAAACAACTAGAAAAACTCAAAAGGTTCTAGTAACATGATGCAGTAATATAACAATCACCAATTCATAACTATTGAACTACAGAACATATGATTTGTAAACAATTACGTAAACAAATCTGGGATAAACTTATTACTTCTAAAAATAACTAAATTTAACACTCGTGTTATATAAATTAGTTGAATCATAACTCTTGCATTATACTTAAACTGAAACAGTCATGCATTTCTAATAGTCACGTTTTATATCTAAAAATAGTAAGAATATATTTTATTTGCATAACCCCTACTCCAGTTAGTATTTTATTTTCTAAATTAATAGTTATTCATGCTTCTTTAAAAGATCCTGTGTAAAACTATGACTTGATTCTTTTCTAGAATGTGTTTGTAACAAACTGGGCACAGATTCTACTGCTGGAACTTGTGATCGGACAACAGGCCAATGTCCATGTCTGCCAAATGTTTTAGGTCAAGTGTGTGATGAATGTGCACCCAATCATTGGAAACTGGCTAGTGGTGAGGGGTGTGAGGCTTGTGATTGTGACCCATTGGGATCATATGATCCACAATGCAATGAGGTAAAGCTTCAACATGAATAAAAATGTTGTGCATAAATCGATATATTTTAAATTTTCTGGTTGCTATGACAGTTTTTGATATTATGAGATTTAAGTTTGTTATTATGCTATTGGATATATCATTAGATTAGATATGTTAAAATTTTTTTACTATTATAGTATTAGAGAAATTTGAATTTTTTACTAGTGTGTTATTTCTTTTTAGTTATTTATATCTTGTAGGCTTCAATATTTGGAAAACATTTTTATTAAGTGTGTGTATGTGTGTGTGTGTGTGTGTGTATATATATATATATATATATATTATTTTGTCAGTTCCCTTGGAAACTTCCTAATTCTTAAATTGCCCCTAATTATATTCCTTGATTTTTGCTTCCAGTTACTATCTGTATACTGTGGCATCTATTTAAGAAAGTTATGACACCATCATTGACCTTTCTTTTTATCCTATATTTTACTTTAATAATTCAAATTTTTATTATAATATACTAACTTTCATATAACAGTCTGCCCATAAAATTCTAAATTACTTGCATAAATTATAAATATGCCACAACTAAGTAATTTTTTGTTAAAAAGCCTTTGTGTTATAGGAGAAGGTGACTACATTATATTTTCTTGTTTTTGTTGTTTAAAAAAATCATATTTTAATGCACATCCCAAGAAGTACTGACTCCACAAAATTTTGACATTAGAAAGTATAGTGGGCAAAGCATTGCCATGTGGTTAGCATGCTCAGATGGTGAATCTGATGATTCATGAGCCATTGCAGCAAAATTACACTCCAAACTTTGTGGTCTTGAGTGCACTGTGAGAGTAGTAATCAAATCTCACTGCCCAATCATATGAATTGGTGGTGGGTGATTTTAACTAGTTGTTTTCCTTCTAGTCTAGCAGGTAAAATTCAGGAAACCTATGTGCTGACAGCCTTTGTGTAAACTTTACGTAAAATTCTGAAGCAAACACAGAAGGTGTAGAGTTGTATTGGAGATATTATAAGATAAAGAATGGTAATATGTGTGTAATATTATACATCATACAGGATTTTTTGCATACCAAAGCAAAGTATAAATAGAGGTGTTTATGCATGATAATGTAGTTTGCAGAGAGTTGTATGTGATTATGCTTGTGACTCTGACTCATTGAGATTGTGATCTATAAATAAATGATGCAAAACTAAGATAAAATGTTTCAAAAGGAATAAAACAAGATCCAATTATAACATTATACTAAACCTATGGAAGCCTATCTTTTGTTTTCATTCTGCTATCTGTATTGCACCATAATATGGGATATAGGATGGTTTTTGTGTGTTACATTTCAAAATGTAGAGGGTGTATGTGTGTTGTACGTAATAATCTACATCTTCATAAATCTTTCTTCTTTAGCCCTTTATAGATGTTGAACTCCCGCCCCACTTTAAAAACAACTACGGACCCATTGTATTCATGTACTTTGAATATATATTACAAAATTAGGTGCTTATACAAGACACAAATAACCCTTAATACATGGCTCATGCAGTGGTTTTTACACAGGTTGTAAACAGAACAGCAAGCATATGTTAATATAATCATTAGCATTAAATTACCTCTGCTTTTGCTATTCATTTACCTCAGTTTTCTTGTTTTTGGAACAGACTTCCTTAGTTCTGAATTATCTTTTCAGTTTGATGGACAGTGTCGATGCAAAGCAGGACATGGAGGAAGACGATGTAATGAATGTGAAGCCAACTACTGGGGAAATCCAGCTATCCAATGTTATCGTAAGAAAGAGTTATTCAGAATTTTGTTTAGTAAAAGTCATCCATTAAATATGCTTAATTTTGTTCCTGAAACTGAGAAAGATGTCATTTTTTATTGTTCTCACCACATATCTGCATTTCAATTTGGAGAACTTTATTGTTATTGATTGTATCAAACCTTTTGTATCTCTCTTTTGTGTTTTTTATTTATTATTACTGACTTTTTTTTATTGCTTTTGATTTTATTTAACTTTTTCCTTACAGGATGTGAATGTAATCCAGAAGGGTCAGCTACACTTCAGTGTCATAGAGACAATGGTACATGTGTGTGTTTGGATGGTATAGCTGGTGACTGGTGTGATCAGTGTGCACGAGGTCACACTGGAAGAGCACCTTACTGTGATCCATGTGGAGAATGTTTTGATAACTGGGATCTAATTATACAGGAATTGAAAGGTATTAATTTGCACAAGTTTTCTCTCGTGGTTATTCTTGACTGAAGAAAGGTTTTTATCACTTTTTCATACTTGCATGATTTTTATTATTATAACTGGCCCTTTTATGTAATTGAGAATGGTCAATTGTTTCTTTATGGATTAATTTAATACTTAGAATAATTTTTGTAGTTTATCACAAACAAGTTATTAGACAAAGTTAATTAATACCTGTAAATTATATGTATAGTACATTATTACTTAGAATTTTTCAAGTTTTTAGTGAATCTGTTTTTAATCTTGGGTAATTTTGATCAGATATTGACAGTTTTTGTAAAGCTTTTAATGAAGACCATCAGGTTAACACTTTGTTCTGATACGGTACATTATCTCTGCTCACATAAATAGCTATTCTCATTCAGTAATGCCCTCTAAATGCAGAAAAAAATTTTATGCATGCCACAAGCCTTATAATTGACTGATTCCAATTCGTCTCTTATGCAAATCATGCATCAACCCTCCACCAATAAGAGTGTGACATACTCTCATGGCACATGTGACTCCCTCTATTCTTTTGTTTGATTTACATATTTCTACTATGAATTCTGAGGTGTGTTATACCTCTAGCAGTATTTTCACAGGCTGCGAGGGGGGGGGGGGAACTGTCGTTGGATTTCTCTTCTATTATCCATCGTGAGATTGATCATTATATGGGTCAGTCTTCTTCTCCTGAACTTGCCCCACTAATCCTCCTGAACAAGCTGAACCTGTTCGGGTCTATGAAAATTTTATAACCTTTTTACACCACAAATTTTGCCTTGTTTTCCCTTACCACTCCTGCGGAATCAGCTAGGCCTAATATGGCATTTTTTGACATGATTTCTCAGGTATGTTATGTCTTATCTAATTCCTTGTTTTTATATAATTCCTTATTACCTCCATGTTGGTTCATTTGTCAACTTCAGCTCTCACTTTACACACGGGTTTCACTGTAGATGGGATTTTCTGCGTTGCGATGTGATCTTGTCCTGGGTAAGTTTGCTGGCTCTTTCGTATCTGGATTTCTGTATATTTTGTTTGGTGATATGTTTTCGATCATGTATCTGAGACTCTGGACTCCCACTGGTTATCTGTACATTTTAGTCTTCGGTTCCTTGTCTTCTTGCTCTGGCTATCGATGTTTTCAGCCAGGATTAGACCTACACATTTGTCTATCCTCCCATTTTCATTCTTCGCCGGAGATTTCTTTCATCAACGACACTCCATGTTCAGTACTTCTGATAGCTCTTTCCTGGCTGTCTCAGCTGTGGTTTCCATGGCTTATCCAGCTCCAACTTCCTCCTTTGTTACTTTTTCCTTTGTCTCCATCCCTTCTTTGCCACCCTTAGTCACTGGTGTTTCATCCAGACCTTCCTGTCCTCCATCTTCATGCCTGGTTTTCCTCTGGTCTTTGGTGAGGTGATTCGGCTTCTCCCGATGGTTAGCCTCTTTTCTGTCTTGTTTCATTTGCCTTTCCTACATGGAAATTTCTCAATAAAAATAGAATTTTTCCACTATTCGTTTTTGTGGATCCAGGGTTTTCTCCTGATCAACTCATTGTTCTTCATCATGTGGATTTCCTCTCTTGACAGGGCGGTCCTGTCCGACACCTTTTGTTTTTTCGTGATTCCACAGGTATTTACCTCTCCTATTTACCTGTGGATGTGTTTCTTCCAGATTTGTCATCTGCCATGGTGGGCTGCCCTTACAGATAGGGATATTAATATGGTCCTCCACTACCTCACTTTGCCTATGTTCAAACTACTCTCCCGGTGCTCCTTGTTTCACCTTCCTTTACGTCTTCCTTCCTTTTCCTAATCGCCTGTGAATGTCAATGGTTTGTTTCACGTGCTCTTTATCCTTCTACGTGTCTTCTCCTTTCCTCATTTTTCCTCCCTAACACATTGGCAGCTCCTGAGGATAACTCCTCCATTTAGCCTCTTTCCCATTTTCTGTTTCACACCTTTATTCTCATCCTGATCCAGATAGACTTTTATGTTCTGTACGTACTCTTCTCAATTATCTTGCTTGTACGGCTTCCTTCTGTGGTGTATGTTCCTGCCTCTTTCTTCCTTGGCAACTTTCTTCTGTTCATGTTTTTTTCCTTCCTCCTTTGACAGTTTGGTTCGGCTCTTCATTTGATTGACTTCCTCCTCTTTATCATCTTCCTCCCGTACTTTGTTCTGAGTGTCTTCTCACTCAATTTGACAACTTACCTTTTCATTGCCATTTCATCTTTATTGTCCTTTGGAGGCATTTCTTCAATTGGGCATGTGGACTACCCATATTTATGTTTGTCTCTCACTATTTGCATCAGGTCACGGTTTTCTTCCTCTTTGGATTATCGTCTTTCACCCTTTTCTTCTAGTGCTAGTGGAGTTTGAGTGTTCTTACCACTTTCCAGTTCCAAGCTGTTTAGGTGAGGGACCATAGAGGCATCTTCCTGAATGGATTAATGAAATACAAACAAAATATTGAAATTATTATAAAACCATTCAGTTGAGAGTAAGGTGGTAGTGTTCGGCTGGTGTAGATGATGTAGTATCCTCCAATACAAAACATAAAAACTAATGGGAGTGAGACATTAAACTTGCAGTTCATGTCTTTGATTGGGATTCCTCATCCTATTCCCATGTGGATATCAGTTCCCAGTGGCTGGGTTTTGGATTTAGAGTATAACCAATCAACATAAGTCCTCACATATGTATTCCAGATGTCTATATTCCTCCCTCATTTATACTCCATCAGTGTTGTGGGTTTCAGTGTAGATAATTGCAGATTGTTATGGTTTTTTTTCCCTTCTGCTGTCCCATGATGTTTCTTATTCCGAGGATGTAAATACACTTGGGGTGGTTCCAGTCAATTTCACTTTTGAGGGAGATGTTTTACAGTATGTAGACATCTTTTTGATACCGGATGTCAGGTTCCCGGATCGATCTATCAATTTATCATATTCGCATGTGCTCATTCATGAATCGGAGGGTACTAGACTCCCTTCAGTCTCATGAACTTGAGGTGAAGACAGTAGGATCCTCTTTCCTATCCCTGTCAGATGGCTGGGTTTTGGATTGTAGTGGACTTGCTGGTGGTATGATCCTCTTTCCTACCCTCACATGGATGTCAATAACTGGCAGTTGGGTTTTAGATTGTAATTGACTTACCGAGGGTATGATCCTCATCCTACTCCTGTATGGATGTATGGATGTCGGTTGACAGCAGCATGAGTTTTGAATGTAGTTGACTTGCCGTGTATGGTCTGTTGCACCCTAGCCACTCTACATCTAGAGGCACATCCTTTTCATATTACCCACTTTTATGATTTCTTGGATTGAGTTTCAGAAATATTGCATGGTTCAGATCACTTTCTGGCCATAGTTCTCTCCCAATTGGATGTGCTCCTTTGTTTTCCACCCATATATGCAACATCTTTCTATGATAGGTGAAGAGTATACCTGGTTCAGAAGTGGTGTGGTTTCCCACATCAGATCTTAGAATCTGACTGTCTCATCTTAGGGAGTGTCCTTCGGATGCTTTTGAAGGATGTTTCTTTCTTCCTCGTGCAATGGTATCTCCACCTATTCAATGTGGGATTCTAGCTATTTATGTGAGTGGAGGTAATGTACCATATTGGAAATTATAATTTTCCTACACTGAAAATGTATTTTCGATAGGTACTTACCTCCTCTCATACTTCTCACCCTTCCTCCCCACTGAAAACCAGTGCTTCCATCTTCTGCCAAAACTCGAAGTGATAAAATTGAATAGAGGGAGTCATATTCTCAGGAGAGTATGTCACACTCTTATTGGCAGAGGGTTGATGCATGATAATTTGCATGAGAGAAGCAATTAAATCAGTTAATTCAATTCCAATGGAGGGGAGATAGAAGGTTTGTGGCATGCATAAAACTTTTTTTGCATATAGAGGCAAGCACTGAAGGAGAATGGCTGTTTATGTGACAGGAGATAAGTACCTATAAGAAATACATTTTCAGAGTAGGAAAATTATAATTTTAAACTTTCCATGGGGTAAAGAAAAGTTTATTTTTTGTAGTGCTAAGCTGTCAAACAAAGTAATTTTTCTTTATGACACTTTGAGTTGCCTATAGACAGATACTTAAATTTAAAAAGCAAAGACATTTGATAAATATTAGTGATATTGTGCCACATATTACAGTTGTATTTTGTAGTTTTGGATATTGTAGGTTATCAGAGATTCAATTATAATAAAATTATACTAAACCTATCTTTAGTTTTTCATTGCTGCTATTTGTGAGTTTTATTATTTATCTAAATAATACTAGTTTCATCTGACTTTTTGATGATCAGTCTTCTGTATTGCTGGATGAAATTTTGCTTTTTTAGAGTGTTTCTAATAATTTTTGTATAGTTTAAGTCAGTGGATAATTTTTATTACTGAATATCTTGCATCAATAAAGTTCACAACAATTTAAAATTCATGTAAATTTACATCAATGACTAGTTTATATTAGTAATTTACATATTCCATTTATTTTAAAGAAATAGCAGTGATAATTTATTTGGAAATTGTTTTAAGTCCATGACTGTCAGTCTCAGCCTGTGTAAAAATCAAGTTTATATGTCATAGTTAAAAAAAAACAACAAACGAATCCTGTGATCAGTTAAATGAAAATAATGTTTTATTTGAAAATCTCATTAACTTATACACTTACTTACATTAGTGCCAATTTTATACACTCTAGCTTACACAAATATATCTATCTGAGCATGGGGGTCTGCAAGATTGCAAGGGGTCCATGAAAGTGAAATGGTTAAGAACCATTGTTTTTAAGTCATATTTAAAGATGGAAATTAAGGTCAAATTGATGAAATATCCAGTTTTACTTACTGATCATGTGAAATATTTTAACTTCACAATTACATGAATATAATTCTACTTTTATATTTATAAACTAAACAGATCGTACTCTGAGACTGGTAGATCAAGCTAAAAATATCAAAGATACTGGAACTACGGGTGCTTACACAGATGAGTTTTCTGAGATGGAGAAAAAGTTAGATGAAGTGAGAGAGATTTTAGATAGTGCTAATGTGACAGGGGCAGATATTGATGAACTTCAGAAGCTAATAGATGAATTAAAGTAAGATTTTGACATACCTTTGTTGTTTTTAGATGAATTTTTCATACCATTTTCAGCCTAAAATATAGTTTTCTACAATGTATTTAGTAAGTTGTTTGATTGATCAAGTTATAATATTTCATCAGTGATTTCTACCTCATCTGTATATATTCCATGGATATGCAAATGTATTGAACTCTTTTATTTTATTTTATGAAGTAAAGCATTGAGTTCAAAAGGAGCTACTCAACATTTACTTGTGATTTATTGTTGACAATGAAAGAAGATTTTTATTCTAAAATAGCATTTTTATTGGTCTAGGAGAACCTTTTAGCAAAGAAAACAATGTAATTTATGCAGAAGTTACATATCTAATATGAAAGAAACTATATTGCTGAAGAAATATATCAAATATGAATGTATATATTTTAAATCTTAAATTAATTAGGTATTTTAATTGTGAGCATACAATCAATAGCAGTGATTTATAGTTGGTTTGTAATTTTATTCAGTTTAGAGCTACAATACCATTTAATTTTTGCAATCTTTTTTATTTCAACCTTTTGAATTTAATACCTGAATAAAATAAATTTAAATTTTTATATATAGTGTCATTTTTTGAAGGCATTCTGGAAGTATAATTCTGTTAGTTCAATTAAAGATTCAAAATCATGTGAAATCTATATTTTGTCACATCAACCTTGATAAAAAGGTATACTGCCACCACAGTGTTTGAGATAAAGTAATTAACTATATGATGTTAAGTGAATATATCAACCATTATGCACAAGTTTTAGGTGTATTAAAACAAAGGTGGAAGGTATAATACTGGATTTATCAGTATCCAAGATTTTACATGGTTTTTGTTTATAATCTTAAAAAAGTTAAGACCTATAATCATATGATTCCAGAATGAACCTGACAAATAGCAAAGTTGAGCTGAAAGATGTGGAAAACCACTTAAAAAATACAACAGATAGAATTTATGATGCAAATCTAGCTTTATCAGATCTGCGACGCAGAGCTGGAGACCTAACATCTGATGCAAAAGACCTCAAGGACAATGCAACAGCTCTCCAAGAGGCTAATGTTGAAGGTAAAAATTCACCAGGATAAACTTAATGAGAAATGCTTAGTTTTGTATCTACTTTGTAGGTGTATGAGAATAGAATAAAGTTAAGTGTGACAAATTGTGAACTGATGGATTCATATTATCAGTTGTGAAGTAAAATATGAAGTTAGAGCAAACCACATATTAAAATTCAGCATCTTAGTAGAACTAATATACTGAGTTCACACACCAATAAGCAGATAACTAATGAACTAATACTTAATTGGCTTCTTTTACCTTTTTGTTTAGGTTTTTTTGGAAAGCTCATGCCATGTATTTCAGGCAACCTTGTAAATAGCAATTAATAATTTATTATATCTTCCCTTCCATTTCATGTGGATATTCTAAATTGACTATTTTATAGTTAAAATGTACTTTAATTAATGCATTTCTGGGCTCTATACTTTTTTTGTCCCTTGTGATTATGGAATTAAAGTTGATGTATGTATTAACTGTCCTTTGGCCTATTGTAACATAGATAATTATTATACCAAAAATATGCATTAGTTCCACCTATCTCTTGTTAACTGAACTAAGAGATTTAATATGTAGTTGGGTTGGCTCTTTTAAATTATTTGGTGAATATAATCAGCAAAATACTGATTTTTGTATTTATAACATAGCTTTATTCCTCAATACTTCACAAATTTACTAGCTTTTTTGGAAATCTAATTTAAAACTAGTTGGGCCTACTCCCACAAACTTATTTGATTTTAATGTCATGCACCCTCTAGTTAACATCCAAATTAAAACATTGAAAATATAGCTAATAACAATATTTTCAAAACCGCATGTATCCTTTTCATGGGGCACACTTGCTGTGTGGATTAATAAACTTTAAATTTCTATGTATAAGTAGGAGATTTTGGTGATTTTTTTTTTTTAAATAATGAAAATAAAAAATGTTTACGCACAGTTGGATTCCATCAGTCACAAATTAGTAGATTTAAAATGCATGTTAAATTATGTAGTTAATAATTAATGAAAAACAATTAAAAATCGTACCTGTAAATCAACCTTTTGCTCCATGCTACCTTCCGATTGGAACAATGTTAACAAAATGACAGTGATTGATATCAAATTATCACTTTACCTGGTAATCTGATACTGTGTAACACCTGTGTCAAGGCAAGATAAAATTTAGTCCCAATAAGTCCATCTTTTATAAACTCATACACGTGGATTCATATTATATGGATAAATGAAATGAAAATTGTTAACAACCAAATGAAGTATGAGCTTACCTATGTACTTATAAAAGTACAGAAAGGGGGTTTTGTAATCACATTGGTTGTAAACCTGAAATACTGTGATTGACAGATACGTATCAATAGTAACCTCCACCCATTCTATGTCATGTTATAATGATATAATTGATATATTATTCATATCACTTTTATCATAGACTATTGTAGCACACATTATTTTGCTGTAGCCACACCAAACAATATGATATATAGCAGCCTATTACCAGGACATTTTTTTTCTGTTTATGCCTGTTTATATGACATAAAGCAACTTGTAATCAACCCAATGTGTAGTCTGTTACATTTCCCATTCATTATTTTTTAACATGCTGTTGGTTTGAGTTGGACAGACTTATCTATGTGTTGGTTTATGCATTATGTAATCCACACCACAGAGCTTATTGTATGGCTTTGTTTCTACAAATTCAATGGCTAAAAAGAATTTTAAGTAGGTTTTAAAGTATTGTTTGTGTGTTTTTAAACAATAAATTCCTCTGGATCCAATGAAACTGCCCAGACCAAAGCAGAGCACGAAGAGAGCTATCATGTGATGTATCACTAATCCTTATTGGTGCAGCCAATTTGAACCAACACCCTGTTTTTGGTTTTAAAATTCGCTTGCTAGTCACTGCCAAATCATTGTGATGATTTTAAAGCCAATTTACTAGTGGGAGTATGGTTGGCTTGAAATGTATTAGTACTGTAGACGTTTTTTATTTGTTGTTTGGTGTACAATAATTAGTATTTATATATTTATAACTGTGATTTCATATTCACATATTTCTGTGGCCAGGATCTATAATTCTCTGGGATCTGCTAGTATAATAGAAATTTTTCATTAGGTGCTTTAAGTATGTTTTGCTGTACTTTGATTAATTTTTTTTTAGATAATTCTTAAGATAACAGTTGCTATTAATGTTATACCATCAGAATAATTATTATGGAGTTTACAATTTTTCCAAGGTGCCTTCAATATAACAAAGGATGCCCAACGAAGGTCAAGGGCTGCTGAAGGTCAGGTTAAGGATGCAACACCTCTTATTTATGACTCTGAACGTCAAAGACGTCGTACAGAAAATCTCCTAGAGCAGGCCCAAGGTGGTTATAACAAAAGTTATGAAGAAAATGAAGCAGCTCTGAATGATATAGCAGATCAACTAGACAGACTGGAAGGTGGTATCACTGATATCAACAATATGGTAAGTTATGTTCCACAACACATGAAAGTTGCATGTGATTATTAATATTTAGTATTAAAACTACATGAACTTTTTGGGTTTGAAGAAGATGTTGAGTAAAAACGCATAGATTTTCTACGATTTAAAATGTGAAAGTGAAATTAATGTAGCATCAACAGCTTGAAGACAAAAGGCAGAAGACTTTTGAAATGTTGTTCACTACACTTGTGTCTCTACAACAGGCAGTTGCCATCCATTCTACAAAGTTTCATCATGAATACTCTGCCTAACAATTTATCAAAGAATACAGCATTTTGTTTGACAAGTAGATTTCACTGAAAATCTTAATACCTAACTTTGTGAAATCTCTTGTTTTTCTTAACATTCAGCTATTAGATTCAACCATAATATCTTAAAGCTTCTGTTTTTCACATTCACTTTTTTCCCTGTTCAATTTAACACAAGGATATTACTGGAACACTTATCTATACACTGAAACCTTTCTTTTAAGATTACAAACATGTTATTCAGTGTTTGGAAAGTAATTTGCCTTAGTCAAGAATAGTTGTAAATACTCAAAACAACATAATTCAATTTGGACCTTAAAAACATTTCTGTCTCACTATAATTCTGAAATATATTTCTGCCTTGTTTTGTCTTTTTTCACACTACTGCACAAAAATCACAAGAATGACCTGCCCTTATATATCCATGGTAAATCTGGTTATGTTTCACGTAGATCTAACTAGATTTCTTGATAATGCCTTAATATGTCTCCCATATGAGTATAACATCATATCATCAATGGTTTCTTTTTCCTTGCCATTTTAACAGGGCTTTGTTTCACATGCTGTAGTTTCTTTGCGAATTTCAGTCTGTGTATATATATATATGAAGCATTATGTATTACAATTTCTGCTTTTTCCTTACTGACTGGCATCTAGGTTCAACCTAAAAAAGTAAAATTTTCTTTTTACAGACTTCAAACAGGATAATACAGCAAAAGTTTTATTGTCAAAATTTTTTTATCTCTCAGGTTTTTATGTTGTAATATACAATAACATACATAAAACTTCTGCATTGTACTCCAATAGTTTAAGATTAAGCATTGATGCATATTATTAGAAATTGAAGTGTTTTTGTGAAACATTGATGATAATATAATTCAATCTATACAACATAGTTGTCTTATTTTCAGGTATTTTTATGATAATAATTGAATGTTAACTACAAAGCCCTCTGTATTTATTAATTTTTAGTTGACTTAAATCACGCAACATTTACTTCATTATATTACTTACAGGTGTGTGATGGAACTGGAACTGTGGACAGGTGTGACTCACTTTGTGGTGGAGCTGGCTGTGAGAAGTGTGGTGGAATTAGCTGTGGGGAAGGAGCTGTTACTAAAGCTGATAATGCCCTAGATTTAGCTAAAGAAGCTGAGAAAATCCTCAATCAGAAAGAAGGTGCAGCAAAAGATTTACTTGAGAAAGTAAGAAATGTATACATAATAGCTGCAACCTGCAAAACATTTGTGGTAGTTTCATGCCCTTTGAGTGAATTTTCCTTATTCTGTCATTTTCACACGCACCATTTAAGTTATTCTTTCTTGCAGGCATTATGTATTAGACTGATAAATCTTGGTGTATTTGAAAAATTTTATACGGTCAAACAAACTCGCGTAAATATAACTATATTTAATAAAACAACATGTATTTAACTTTATTTACAAAAACTACACCTAAAGTAAACAGCAAAGTAAAGTAATGGTATTTATAATAGTGTACAGAGTATGAAACGAGTTTAAACAAAGAAACTTACAAAAATGAAGACTAAAACTCGTAGTAAAGAAAAAAGTAACTAAAAGGTGTTTATAGCAGTCTGAAATGAAATGAAACCATATTATTGCAAAGTAAAGTAAATTTAAAGTTGTAATGAAAGCAAACTTGGCTGAATATGCAGAAACATCTGAATGCATGTTCACAGAGTGATAAGCATATGGTTTTGAAAGAACTGCACATGCATATTTTAGACCTAAATAAGTCAAGACAGTTCATAGAATTTGTATTTAATGTATACTCTTATTTTTTAGAAAATTGCATGCAAGTTCAATATTGTTTGTGTGAAATACTTTTCAAATAAAACAATTAATGTTGAAATTGAAGCCAGTCGTCATATGATGACAATAACATTGTGCCATCGTGTATCATATTCATTGTATTGAGAGTTTGACTAAGCAAAAAATAGGTATGGTGATTCTGAATAAGAAAATCCAATATGCAATCTGGACTCCTCTGACAAAGAACTATGACATTTTCTCTCTCAGCATCCCCTCATCTCTAATTTATTTATCACCCCTCCAAGAAGTATGAATTTTAATGATACTTACTGTTGTCATTGTTCAGGCAAAGCATAATTTTCACAGCCTTCAAATCTTGATTGGTTTCAGAGCCATCAAATAGGAAATCAAACCCCTCTTGCTACGCACATCGTTTAAAACCAATAGAAAGCCAAGGTTTTCAATTACCAAATAATTTATTATAGTACGTTGTTTTTTGTACAGAGAATAGTTAATTTTGTTTTTAGTACAAGCTTTATTCCTACAGAAAACACATCAACTGGCTTAAATGAATTTGTAACAGCTCTTGTCACATAATTGAAAAGTTCCAAAAAATTGTGATATTTATGGGAAATTGTCTGCTTTTTGCCATTATTTTTGTCATTATTTTGTGTTCTTTGGTGCATTATTTAATTCAATAAAAAATTATTTAGTTCAGTAGCACCATTAGTATAAAAGCCCAGGTAAGTACTTTATTTCTTGTTTTTCATATGTATTCTTTATTTATTATTATACAAATAACTAAAATGTAAAAATAGGAAACTTTTTACATTAGGTTAGATTAGGTAAAATATATAATAATAATAATAATAATGATACAATTTTTCATGAGGTGCATTCGTGAGTAACTTGTGCCTAATGTAATTTGGTAGCATAATGTGAGCTGCACTTTGCCAAGTGATTTACAACTTAATATAGCACAAATAGTAGTTAGACATGGTTCAAAGGGCAATAAAACAGTAAAATTTAAGTATAAATAGATGTATTTTGTTATGAGTTGAAAACTATTTAGGATAACAAATGTAGTTTCATGTTACAATTTGAAGTCATTCTAGAAAAAAAAGGGGTAATTTAGATTTATTTCAAATTTTTTTGTTTTTATGACATTGGTTAAATTGAACAACCTTGTATAGAGTTAGGGTAGAAAATATAAAGTTTTAGTGAAAACAAACATTTGAAATGTATTTAGGAGGTTTTAGAGATTACACAAATCAGATCTGAGGTTTTTGAGATGAAGAAAAATATTTTTAATCTTAATTAGGAAATCACTTTGCACTCGGAGTAGTAAAATATATATATGTGTGTGTGTATATATATATATATATTCATGGACAAACTTTAGTATGAATACCTAATTTAGAAATAAGATTTTTTATGTACAAAAGGTTTGTAATGTTTAGAAAAGTCTGCAAAGTTTTGTGAAGATACACGTACTGTAATAAATGTTATAGTATAGAAACTATAAAAAGTAAAAAAATGGTTTTGAGGTTGGTCAGTTCAAACATTTGATGAATTAGTAAAACTTCGTATAATAATCTTAAAGTTGAACATATTGTACTAAGAAATATGTGACATACCATGAGTTTATTAAGGTTTGGCTCTGTATGTTCTTTAGTAGTGTGGAGTGGGACACTTTTCAAACAAGTCATTTTGTGTATACATTTGTTATTTAAACTGAAACATAATTTTATATTTACAACTCAGTTAATTATAAAAAAATCCTCATAAGTTGATTGTAACATTTATTTTCCAAGTGCATGATCAAAACGTAGTGTTGCACGTGTTCAAATATAAACTTTATAACATTTTTATTATCAAAGTTAAGACCATAGAATTTTAACAAAACAGCATATATTTTGTTTGTTAGGTAATAGATGCTAAAAATGATGCTGACTTAGCTCTAGAAGAGGCCAAGCTAGCTTTTGCTCGTGCTCAATCAGCCAGAAACTTCTCTGAAAATGCAACTGGAGATATTGAAGAACTTTTAGACAGAATTGAGAACTTTCTTTCTGCTCAAGGAGCTAGACCTGCAGAAATACGAGCTTTGGCAGAAGAGGTAAATAAAAATTTATGGATTTGTTATTTATCTAAAAAAAAACAGGACCTTAACACAGTGTCAGAGTTTAAGTATCACAAAAATTTGCCATAAGATGAACCTTTATGCTTAGATATGTCGCAGCTATATGAATTGTCATTTTTATTACAAAACATCACATGATATTTACTTATTATTCCAAGATGTTTTGAAGTTTATTTTAATATCTTAATTGATGAATACCCTGTATATGAAAATGTTTTGTAGATATTGTTATGATAGCAGAAGTCACGTGACGCTGGTGACAAGTGATGAATTTCTCGAATGATCGGGGAGACCCGAGTGTAATCGGGACACTCCTTCTTTAGTATATAAGCCTGGTAGAGAAAGCCTGCAGATGAATGAAGAGAGTTCCGGGTAATTTACGATTCTGTTTCAAGCTAGTGTGTGAAGTTATTGAGATTGTGAATCACTAAGAGTTTGTATCGGGGAAGAATAAACTGGTTTAATCAAGAAAGGACTTGTATTGCCGAAGTTCCTCGGAAAGAATTTATACCGGAAATTAACAAACAAGCAGATACGTAACAATATATTATACCTGGAAAAATGCAGTAGTGACAATTGCAGTTTTACTACCCAGTAGTATAGAGCTAATGAAGTTGTTGAACCTGGGTTAGGTTTAATCTAGTAGTAAGAATGCTTAGCTGCAGATGGTAATACTGAAGGTTTGATTCATGATATACTGCTGAACATTCTCCAAATTATCAGCTGTGAGGACATTATAACCATTATAGTCAATCCTAGTATTTGGTCAATAGTAAATGTGTGGCCAGTGGGTGCTGCTGAGTGATTGTCCTCCTCCTGCTCAGCACTTCTAAATTAGGGATGGCTTAGACTCTGGCCTGGCCATTTCGCACAAAAGAGGTTCAGGAAGAAAATATCAAATATCCATTTTAACCATTAAAATAGTAAGAAACTTGTTTGGCTAACCAGCATTCTTATATATCTGTTGAATCTGAATAAATAGGACTGATAACCAGAACATTGGTTGACTAGTTGCAATTCTTACAGCTATTCAACCTGAAACAAGAGGGAATCCTTGATAGTTGCAGCACTTGAAATTCTTTTAGGTAGTATTAGAGTAAATTAATCTATGAGACCTTTTTGTGCACCAGCAATACTAAACATGGGATGTGGGCATGCCTAATTTGATTTTATTACTCACCAAGATCTCTACCAGCCTACCCTCAAGTTGAAATTCTTTTAGGCAGTAAATTAATCTATGAGACCTTGGGCATGGTCAAATACACCAATCGACAGAGTTTGACCTTCTGTGTCGAAAACTGTAATTAGATCTCAAATTGATTAGGAGATGACGTGCTATGAGCTAAAAGTTTGTACTAAAAAAGTCGGAGCCATTCTATGAGCCGCTATGTCGTGACTAAAAAGGACTTTGTTGATCAGGTGCCTTTCTCATAAGGACTGATAGTCAGAACACTGGATGATCAGCTGCCCAGCAACATGCAATGAAGACTAAAAGGACAGGAGTTTATCGACAAAAAGGGCACTTTTCAAGCATCATAAGGCAAGCCCCCCCTTTGGGGGGGAGGTAAGATGAAGTGTTTGGGGGGACTATGGGTTCTTTCTAGTGCACATATGGTAAAAAAAAACTGTAAAAAGCAAATGGATCTTCTTTTACTCCTATTCATTTAGTCTTATAAGTACTTTTAAAATCCAAAAGTAACCATAAATTTTTGTGTATCAATACTTAATAGGATATGACAGCCATATTATTTGCTGTAAAGACCTACAAGTCCTTATGTAACAAGAAGATTGTTTGATCAAAAAATTCTGCTAGAGTGTTGTAATAATCATCACTTTGTTTGATGATCTGATATTATACTGTTGATTCTGTTTAAACTCAGTGGTAGATCTCTTGATCATTATTGAATCTATTTTAGTTGATAGGTCCCTAAATTAGTCAGCACCCTGTTTGATTATTTGCCCTTGAACTGTTGAATCTGTTTAACTTGGCTTAGTAAGCATTATAATAGCAAGTTCACTATTTGATGATACAGTAGTGTAAGAGCTATTATACAAAATAGAATTCTATAGTGGCCAGTACATTGTTTGATCAGCCAAGATTCTTTTAGCCATTTAATCTATTCAACCTAGTCAGAGTACAGTAATACAAATACACTGTTTTAAGAATCAAATAATAGTGTTAGAGCTCTCAAACCTAATGGCTCTTGTGTTACCAAAACATACCTTTTCATCATCCATCGTTTTTCTAGTCATTAAACTTGTTAAACCTGTTAGATCACTACAAGAACCATACTGATTAGTCAGCAAGTACTATAGAGTTGTTAATATGATAGTAGCCATCTTATTATGATCAGCCACTATTAGTTGAATATGTTGAAGTGAAAGACCACTACAGTAACTACTTTATCTGTAGATTAATCAACATTGTTAGAGTTATTACATATTGATAAAAAAAATAATATTGTAGTAGTCAGTACTTTTATCATCTGCCATTGTTTTTTCTGTAGTATACTTATAGGAGCTAGAAAACTGTTTGATCATTCATCATTTTTAAAGCTGGTAGAGCATTTTAGTAATCAGTACATTATTAAAGTCATTGTTTAACTTCTTTGCAGTGTCTAGGCTTGAAGATCTCCCTCCAGCCAGAACAAATTACAGAGCTTGCACAGCAGATTAATCACACTATTAAGAGTCTAACAGATATTGATGCCATTTTGAATGCCACTGCAGATAACTTGGCCCTTGCTAAAGGTCTCAAGGAACGAGCTGACCAAGCAAAGTGAGTATCTTAAAGTTGAATAGATTCTTTAATTTAGGATAAAACTAGTATATTAAGTTACATAATTTTTAATATATAGAAGGTTGAGTATCTTATATTAAAAATCATTTTGGACCCTTGCCTCATCATTACAGTCCAAGTTGCATGTCCAGTTGTGCTAAACCTGATGACTGTGCATCTTAACAATAGCCCTGCTGCATAGTTTCAATTGCAAATCTTTTGTAATGTTGTCAGGTACGAAGCACGCCAATCTCCCCTGCAGGCTCACCATAGTCTATTTAGTGTACCAGAACAATGGTTCTTCATTGTCTGTTTCAACAGTCCAATCCAATGAAATCCATAGGTTTTGTGTCTAATTAATTGAGTGGTATGTCTTTGTATGGAATATGATGAATACTCATTTTATGCTCCAGCTGTTTGAGGTATGGAACATTGAACTGTATGCATGACTGGAAACCTTATCTTGGTGAATCCATGCCCCTTGGGCTTCATTTTCATACAAAACCAGTGTGTCTGAGTGGTACATAGGGCCAACAACTTTAGTCTGATAGTAGATAGTTCATCTTGACCTTTATATTCACTGTTCTGATTCCTAACTTGCTCCTGGCACAGTATCCAGAAATATTCATGAACTCCTTTGAAAAGTTTTGTGTGTCAAACACCACTTGGAATATTTCTTTCACCCAAACCAGTAGAAAATGGCACAAATCTTATTACAGTTATGAAGGTATGCACACACTTAGTCATTCTTCCCTGTCTAGGTGCTATTCATACAGCTTTCAATAGTTGGTCTACCCTTCCTGGATACATTGTCTAAGCAACTTGTTTGCATGACTTGTGTAACTTTTATACATTATTATCCTTCTTCATTTTGTTGTTTACCATTGTTTGGGACATGTGACCAGCTTTTGCCACTGACCTTTATAGTTGTGGGTTCTTACCAGTTACAAGATGCCACCCCTTTGCTTGTTGTAGGTCACTTTCTGAATGGTCCTGGTATCTGAAGTAGATCTATATATACCTATATTCAAAATTATAAATCCCCAGTCTGAAAGCATATTTATTATATGAGTGTATGAATACTTTTCAGGGCTCTTGCATACCTTTTTCAAAAGTGATCAGTTTTCTGTGGCATCACACTATCTACAACATGCCAAGCTACATACAAATGTATTTCTGATACATGTCATTCCACCATGACTTTATATTGGCTCTTGTTGTCATGTGATTTGCTTATTTAAAATCCTTTTATATAATGTACCCAGCCATCTTTACTATGGTTAAAATAATATATTTAAAATTAATGAGAAATTTATTGACCATATACTTATCAGTAACCTTTTAGCCTTTACACAGAATTATGTGTAATAGTACAGTAATAAATTATGTGGAAATCTGAAGGGTAATTATTATTTGATTATTACAGTAAAATAAGTTTGTACACTGCTTGACTGACTTCTGTATTTTATAACTTTATTTGAATTACTCAAAATATTCAATCAGTTTTAACTAACTAAATTCAAATATGTAAATTTGCTTCTTTCAGTTCAAAATTAAATAACTTGTGTTTAGGATCAATGCAGATGGCATATTGGGTAATGCCCAGTTAGTACAGCAATTATTAGATGAAGCTGAAGAGGCTCAAGAGAAGGCAAAAGCAGCCATTGATGGAGCTAAAGGGGACATTGGTGCTGCTGAAGTGGATTTGGCTCAAGTAAGATGAACCTTGTATATACTCTGATAAGAAGTGAAGTGTGTAAGCATGTAATTAACCTTCATTAAGCTTTTGACAGCATAAGTACTGTGCTGTTTTGTGTTTTAACATGCTTTCAATATTCAGTAGTTTTTGGAGTGAGTGACTTAATTTTCTTTTATTGCTAGATAATTTTTAATTAAGAAGCAGGATTGATTTCATTTCATGCAGTTGGAAACTGTTTGATAGTTTTTATTATAATTTTTGAAAGTTTGACATTGATATTGAAAATGGTGCATGCAAATCATTAATGTATTTTACATAAGTACATTAGGTATATGATCAAAATGCAGCCTACCATCAATGTTGGTAAAACAGTGTTATAAGAAAACAGTGCTGCTATGTAGACTTGTTTCAAATGATAATTTTATAGGAAAAAGTGGAATGAGTTTTGCTGTACATAAGTTTCAACATTGAGACAAATGCACAATATGAATGTTCAATGTTCTTCCACAAAAGAACTCTCATTTGTGTAAAGTATTCTACTGTATAACAGGTATGTCAGATTTCCATATATAACAATGTGATGTTTTTAATTAGGATAGACAACATAAAGCTTTATAGCAGTATTATCATTAAAGGGACCTCAACTACATGTGCATTAAATATGGATTTTTTAGGCTCATTATGAATGCAGCTTTTATGAGAGCAATAATGAATTTGATTAATAACTTCAGGATGAACAAGAGAATAACAGCAGCAACAACGAAAATTTAATATGTGTGTGTGTGTGTACAGTAACAAACATTTAATTCTTGAACATTTTGGAACATACATATTCCATCCTCAGCAAGCTATTTTGAACAATGTAAATTATTATGTACAAACATTTAAGAAGTTTAAACATTTTATAAAGAGTAATTAAGTACAGAATAAAAGGATGAAGTAAATTAAAAGGCAAACAAATAAACAAGAAAGAATATGATAATACAACAATTGTAACAATGCTATACAAGTATTTAGAACAGACTTAATTATAGTGAAGTTGTGTTATAATTTAAAGCTGGAAGTTCACTTATAATAGATACTTTCTTTAATTAAAAGTTCAATATTGGATGATCCAGATGAGATGACTTTGAAAATCGTAATCAAAATGGTATGGTTGTTGTTTTCACTATGTGGATTTATTAGTTTTTTTACCAGTTCTGCTTGATACTTCCATATCTTTGTAGGCTTGCAGATGTAATTCCATTTATGCGGATGAAACACGTAGGGGTAGGTAATGGGTCTTTATATCGGAATATATTTTGTATTTTTTAAGATCATTTAGATATAATTTGTAGTTGAACTTGTGGATAAAACGTTTTAATTATTTTTAAAATTCGTCACTTCACTATGAAACTTTGCTTACCTAAAAAGGGAACAATCAGTCTTGATGGGTATTTGCCAACAGTGTATGGATTCTTTGAGGGTTAAAATTTCTGAGAAAGGAACTTGCATGTTAGGGCTTGCAAAAAAATGCAAGGGATAGCCATTGTTTATTAGAATCTTCTGTAAGGTGGTGATTTTGGTATGAAGAGACAGTAAGAACAGATGTTATGTGTTCTATTGAAAAGACTGAGTATAAGGTTACGTGTAAAGGAATTCAGAAAAAAAACTGTCAAATCAAGTATGTAAGCCTGTATGTGTTTTTTACAATAAACAGATGTTGTGAAATGGTTATCTAATATTTTGATTTGGATATCAAGGAAAGGCAGTTTATACTTTTTTCGGTTTCACAATTAAAATTAATGTTAGAATGTTTCGAATTTAAATAATCGTAGAATTGTTTGATGTGATTAGAGCTTTTAAAGAGTAAAAATGTATCATCAACATACCTTCTATATAGTGCTGGTTTGTATTCAGCGGGACAGGTGTCTAACCAAGAATGCTCATAGTAACAAAGGAACATGTTATCGAGAGTTGGCCCTAAAGGTGACCCCATTGCCATACCATTTATGTGGTCCTATAGCTAACCTTTGAAGACAAAGTGATTATCCTTGAGGGCAAATTTAAATAATTCTTCCAACTATTGGTGATTAAAGCTTGTATATGTTTCATTTGTGTAGGGGAAAAGTTTCTTTAAAAGTTTCATAGTGAAATGACAAATTTTAAGAATAATTAAAACGTTTTATCCACAAGTTCAACTACAAATGATATTTAAATCATCTTTCAAAATACAACATCTATTCTGATCTAAAGACCTATTACCTACCCCTATGTGTTCCAGGATAATGTATAAATACACATGTGGTGGCTGTAATACCACTTATATTGGCAAAACTGTATGCCAATTACATCTGCAAGCTTGCAAAGATATGGGAATATCAAGCAGAACTGGTAAAAAACTATCAAATCGACAAGAATCAACAATAATGAAAAACATAGTGAAACTAAAAACCATACCATCTTGATTACGAATTTCAAAGTCATCTCATCTGGATCATTCAATATTGAACTTTTAATTAAAGAAAGTTTATCTATTATAAATGAACTCCCAGCTTTAAATAATAACACAGCTTCACTACAATTAAGTCTGTTCTAAATAACTTTTATAACATTTTTACAATTGTTACATTATCATATTCTTTCTTGTTTATTTGTTTGCCTTTTAATTTACTTCATCCTTTTATTCTGTATCTTAATTACTCTTTATAAAATGTTTGAACTTCTTAAATTTTTGCACCTAATATTTTACCCTGTTCAGTATAGCCTGCTGATAATGGAATATGTATGTTCCAAAACGTTCAAGAATTAAATGTTTCTTACTGTACAATATGTGTCAAATGTTTGTTGCTGCCATCATTCTACTGTTTGTCATTAATTAATTAAGTTTTTCTGAAAATCGTCGGTTCTGTTTAATAACACTAGTCATTGCTGAAGTACACAAAAATTAGTTGAATTTATATTAAATAGATTGACGTTTCAAAGCTTGTAATTGGTGAGTGCTTCTAAGAACCTAAAAATGAACTAATATTTTCATAAAGATTTATTCTACCAGTCTTGGAAATCTTCAGATATAATGTATTGCAAATATTTGACCTTGCATGATAGTTTAAATAATTGGACTTTAGTATTAGTGTTTGAATTTTGAATGTTTTGAATGCTTTTCTAGTTTTGGTTTTTTACAGGTGCAACTTTACTGGTAATTTTTTGTTTTTTATCTTCAGCAATTAAATTGTACAAAGATTAAAATATATCAACCTCAATACTAGAATTGTAGGTAGATTATTAAAAAGTTATGATCCATACTGAAAGTAGTACATTACTGAGAAAACATGTTTATACGTTATTAGATTGGAAGTGAAACTGGTGCTGCACAAGAGATAACTAACAAATCCATGGAGGATGTGGAAGCCTTAAAAGATAAGCTAGATGACCTGAAGAAAAAGTTTGTACAGAATGAAATTGATGCACAGAAAGCTACACGAGAGACTTCAGTAGCTGACAAATTAGCTAAAAAAGCAGAAGAGGTAAATAGATTATTTGTTGTTGCTCTTAACCCTCTCACCACGTGCATTCTTTTGAGTGCATGTTAAGAAGTTTTAGTGAGTTACATTCAAAATTTAATCAAACTACTTTTTATCATGGTTTACCAATAAACATAGCATAAAAATGCAGCCAATTATCCATATTTTAATTATTTATAAGTTTAAAATTCTTAATTTTATAAGGTAATATTATAAAAAAAATCCTGAATTTCCCCTTGTATGAGAATTAACATTTTCTCTTTGTCAGATTTTTGTAGATTCTTTACAGTAAGTTTCTGTGACTTGTAGGCAATAAATTTCAACAATAAACAGACAGCACGCAATCCACTTGTTTTAAAATAATATATTCAAAGCAAAAGGGATAATTGTCTCTTTTTTTTTTTTTTTTTTTTTTTTAAAAC